CAGCTTTCCGAGGGACACAAGGTATTCTGCCACCCACACCTCCTTTAGCCTTCTCCGCCCTCTGTCCTTCCATCCCGCACTTCATTCTCTCTGTTGTGGCAACTTTTTACTTCACTTCATTTTCCTCTTTAGAATGTGCACATTGGGGTCTGACTCCCAGTTAGGACTGTGCCATTGTTGAGGTGTGTGGGGGGGGGGGAGGTTCCATTGGGTATGGGGGGATTAGCGAGGCTGGTTGGATCATCTTACAGCCGCCAACACCCCTCCCGACCAGACCCACGGACAATGGGGATTAAACTTCTCTTATTCTTCCTCCCAAATCGACAGGATGACAAAGACGGTATTCCTCTGGGCCTTTTAACACCGGGCTGCACAGCTGAAGTTACGGTCGGGGGTGGCTAGGGATGGCAAGAGGGGGTGTGGGGGCGCCTTGAAGAAAATTAATCCTATGGAATTTTCTCCCTCACCTCTCCTTCTCCTGCTCATTGCAAATGGAGCTTTGTGGCCCCTCTCTGCTATCTTGGCCCACCAATCACAATGAACGAACACACACGTAAGTTGGTGAAAGGGGCACAAGAAGGACAACACTGACACCTTGCTCCGTATTTAACACCCTAAAAGAGAAACCAGCAGACGCCAGCCAGGAAAGCTTTGAGTAAAGACCGATAAAGATCTACGTGAACCGATGTGGCGGCACAGGCCGACGTGTCAATAAGCTCGTTTGGCAGTTGACAGTGATAGCTTTAATTAAGTTTCTTATACACCGGTCTCCCGCTGGACATCCACTTAGTTTAATCACCATATGTCATTCAGTGGCGGCCTACACGCGTAATAGCCTTTTGAGTGCCTCTCACATCACTTCCACACCATTGCAGCTTGTTCGCACTGTATTTGTGCTGGACTGGAAGTGCAGCGTGTTCTGTAGGTACAATGAGACTCACGTCAATTATATTTTACCAATCCAATATACTTGAACCAATATCCAAAAGAAAGGACCAGAAAAGACAGATTTAGTGATTCCAATGGTTTGTTGTTATAGCATCATTTAAAGGGTTAGTTCACCCAAAAATGAAAATTAAGTCATTAATTACTCACCCCCATGCTGTACCAACCCCGTAAGACCTTCGTTCGTCTTCGGAACACAAATTAAGATATTTTTTATTAAATTTGAGAGCTGTATAACTAACACATTGGCTCCGAAGGGACTGCCTCTTGACGGCCCAGAAAGTCAATGAAGAAAATGTTTAAATATCCCAAGTGACTACCGTGGCTCAACTATATGTTTATCAAGCGACGCGAATACTTTTTGTGCGAAAAAACAAACAAAAATAACGAGTTTATTCGACTATTTCTTTTCTTCCTTGTAGGCCAGAAACGAGACTTCCTTAGATTTCCACGACGCATGCGCGAGATTTGCGATCTGCTTACACTACTTCAGAGCCGCTCTGCACTACTTCAGATCGCAATTCTCGCGCATGCGTCGTGGAAATCTAAGGAAGTCTCGTTTCTGGCCTACAAGGAAGAAAAGGAATAGTCGAATAAACTTGTTATTTTTGTTTGTTTTTTCGCACAAAAAGTATTCTCGTCGCTTGATAAACATATAGTTGAGCCACGGTAGTCACTTGGAATATTTAAACATTTTCTTCATTGACTTTCTGGGCCGTCAAGAGGCAGTCCCTTAGGAGCCAATGTGGTAGTTATACAGCTCTCAAATTTAATCAAAAATATCTTCATTTGTGTTCCGAAGACGAACGAAGGTCTTACGGGGTTGGTACAGCATGGGGGTGAGTAATTAATGACTTAATTTTCATTTTTGGGTGAACTAACCCTTTAAACTGAGCATCGGATTGTAGTTCACTGGAACCTGCTGCTGCTGCTGTAGATGACGGACCAGCATAGCTATACTGTTTACCACCAAAGTCTTGTTCTCTTTGGTGTAACTTGTTGACAGAGAAGTCTTGCAAGTTAAGAACCTTGGTCTGGCTGGTGAACAGGCATAGCCATACTATTTACCAGCAAAGCTGAGCCAGTGTAGGTGGTTGCCTAGCATAGTCGATCTTGTTTGACCAAGAAAGAAATGTTAGCTTTGATGCCTGTGAGGGCACCTGCATACCATCATCCTATGTTGTTATGCTGATGACCACCAATGCTACATTTTTTGCTGGGAAACTAAAGGCCCTGATATACCTGTGGAAAAGTTATTTTTCATTCTTCACTGAGGGGTAAAAGAAGTTTGAAATTTGCATCTGTATATTGTTAGCAAACATCCCAACTCACTGCTGCTGGGTAGGTTTGTTTGCTATCATAAAAAAAATTCAGATATTGACATAGAATATATACTCCATCTCTGTAGTATAGTGAATAAGCGCTTGCGCCTATAGAGGGAAATGCACCTTTCATGTGTTTAATACTTAATCAGACTATTTGTTTAAAAGACATTTCAAGCTTTATATAGGCCTGTTTCTCATGTCTGTGAGGCAAGTGTCCTTTAAGACGCCATCAAAGACGGCGCAACTTTCAATTCCTAAGTTTAAGTTATTCTGTGTACTTTCAAGTGCTTCATCAGATTTGTCGTATGGCCGGTTTTGTCAGCAATTATCTTGTCGGAAATATTGCACGCGCGGTGTTGGCATCAAGCCTAGCCACACATTTGATCTTTTTACATCTATGGGGGTTGGGATTTGGTTCATTCAACGAACCAAATGAACGAATTGACTCGGGAAAAGATTTGTTCATTTTGATGAACGAGTTCGAACAGGAGAGTCACAAACGCGCATCACAGAACTGAGCTTATAAAACTTAAACTTTGTTATTATTTTTTTAAATGAGCGATCGTTTCGCTTGATAAGACCCTTATTCATCGTCTGGAATCGTTTAAAGCCCTTTGAACAGTTTGCAGTTTGAACTGAAACTGTCTTTTGGACCTTGAACTGTTTGGTTCCCACTGAAGTCCATTATATGGAGAAAAATGCTGGAATGTTTTCATCAAAAACCTTAATTTCTTTTCGATTGAAGAAAGAAAGACATGGACATCTTGGATGACATGGGGGTGAGAACCTTTGCTGCGCATTTGCGGCAGACAGACACAAGTGCTGTTTTGTGTTGATACTTTGAAAACAAAACCAAACATTAAAAAAGTACAAACGTGTGGCAAGCAATACTATCCATTCTTTCCTGCCTTTTCCATCATTGTCATAAACTAGCAACAGGGACAAACAGTTGCTGGTTTGATGCAAGATACCATGGTTCTGACCAAAGAAATCCAGGTATGATTCCAGCAGAGGCAGACTGATCTCATGAAGTAACGCGTGTATGACACGCCAATTCGTATTTCCATTTTTGGCGTGCTATCAAGACGCATAATCGCTTTTCAGCGTGTTTATGAACGCCGTTGACTTAACGTTATTACTGTATATATAAATATATGACTTACCTCAACCCCGTCCCTAAACCTAACCGTCCCTGGGGTTAATGGCATTTATGACTGTTCCCTTACCATGTAGGGAAAAAAAAAAAAAAAAAAAAAAAAAAAAAAAAAAAAAAATCGCTCCCTAGATGTAGATCTACATTTTGCGCGGACATTTGACGGCGTGTACAGACACGCGGAATCACTCGGACGTTAATGGCGTAGACATACACGCATACATGCGGATAGCTCAAAATGCGTAGAGATAACACGCCACTTGACTCGAAAGTGGCGTGTATGTTTTCGCAAAAGTCATGATGTCATGTTGGCAGAGGACAGGGGGAACTCAATCGAACCAAGTGTGAAAGCACCCAAAAACAACTTCAGTGTTCACTTAATGCGTCACTTTTTTTTTACCAGTTCAACAATTCGGTCCAGTTGGGGAGCCAAACTGATAGACTTTGCACCATGTTATTTCCAAGGCCATTGCAGTTATTCAATGTCAATCCATTAACATGCACTGATGAGTGGTTACCAGTTGTTTGAATGTCAGCCTTCAACAACAAATGACAACCTTTCACACACAACACAAGCTGAATGATTTGCCTCATAAAATACTTATTAGGGCGAGGATATGCAAAATGTTTGCGCGTTATCTTGTTCTTTTCACCCCAGCCTCTCTCTCACCCCTCCCCTCCTATCTCTCAGTTCCTCTCTCTCACTCCCACTCTCAAACATGCATGTTTCCTCCCTCCCTCGCTCACTCCGCGGTAAATAAAAGATTAAATGAGTGTTCTAAAAACACACACTGGTCACCAGAAGATAATTGTTTCAGCTTTGTTTACTGTGCGTGAGTGTTTTCTCTCTCTCTTCTCTCCTCCCCCTTCTTTTTTTTTCTTCTTTTTCATTGTGCAGCATAATTAAAATTCCTTTATTTTCAAAGAAGTTTTACAAGAAGAAGCTAAATTGCCTTTTTTGTATTTATGCAGCTGTCATTAGCTCACTGGCGTATTTCAGGAAGAATGAGAAAGGAGGAAAAAGAGAAAGAAGTGGAGAGAGAGAGAGACTCTGAATGTCCTTGGGAAAGACAGGAAGATCCACTTCATAGCATGTTTATTCAGTTCATGCTGTCCTTTCACCAATCTCTCCTCTATTGCAACCCATCTCCTCGCCTCTCTCTCTCTTTTTAGAAAAGATCAGCTCAAAGTCATTTTGTCTCAAGGGTTTGAACCTCTTCTGATGTGCTGAAATTAGAAGTGTACTCATTTGTTGCATTGCTGATGATCCTAATTGACACTATGCATTATGCAGAATTTTTTAGATTGACAAATCTGCGCATATAACGAAGGCCATGGATGTAATGATTCCCTAATGGGTCTGAATGATCTATGCCTAACCATGCCTAGCAGCTAGCAAACACAATAAATATGAATTTCCGGAGCGAGCGTGTTAGAACGGTGTCATGGATGTTCCTCAATCACCCTCCCTTTCCGGGCTATTCTGTTTTTTCCAAACACTGCATTTGGTAAACAGACAAGGGAGCTTGTTATTAAAAAGGTGACAATGAGATTTTGAGCTAAAATTTGCCACATACCGCTTTCGTAACCCATGCACGATCAAGGCCATCTGACACCACCTGACTGAATTGTCACCCGAGTCCTGATGCCAGCAGACTTCTTCTTGTGTCGCCACTGCAGAAAAGGAAACATAGCAAATAAATATTTAACTATTGACGAGACTATAAATACAGCAATTCAGTGGCAGTAACACCAGTTCCTAAAAATCCCAAGCACTGAAGTTATTTATGCTAAATAGGTATGGCGGTGATCACAGATTAGAAACATCATTAAAGTGACATGAAACGGAAGTTGCAATAGTCTTTTCTTCTCTATTGTAACATATCAGAGTGAAACGGCTTCACGAACAAAGAAACGATTTAGGGAGTAACATTTTGTACATTGAGAATCGATTGGATGCTTGTGGTTTGCTATTACTGTGATCTCATGTGAGTGACAGATTGTCCCGCCCTCACGCCAATAAACGCATCAGAAAATAGAAGAGATGAGGGAGGGAAGTTATTTTGATGAAACATTACGAGGGCACATGGAAATGTGCATGGATAATCTAACAATTATCAATGTTCTTAATTCATTTATAATAAATGTAATACTATTACATAAAAATTGCCCACCCTAATCCTAACCCAATACTGAGGACATATAGTTTATTATTACTTGGGCTGTCAAACGATTAATCGCGATTAATCGCATCCAAAATAAAAGTTTGTGTTTACATAATATATGTGGGTGCACTGTGTATAATTATGTTATATATATATAATACACACACACATGCTTGTATATATATTTAAGAAATATTTTCATGTATTTACTGTATATAGATTTGTGTATAATTTATATTATATATAAATATAAATAATTTGTATATAAATAATATTTTTTCCTAAATATACATGCATGTGTGTGTATATATATATAAAATAATTATACACAGTGCAAACCCCATATATTATGTAAAAATAAACTTTTATTTTGGATATGATTAATCGCGATTATTTGTTTGACAGCCCTAATTATTACACTGAAATGTATAATTTCACTGCACATGGACACCTTAAAATAAAGTGTAACCATTTGTTTTTATCATCTGAGCCATGGCCTAGTGTTCAGTGCACATGTTCTGACACTGAGCTGTGGAGCCCAGGTGGAAGATGCCTTTTGTATTTCAGCACCTATGACATCCGCACACACACACACAGACCTCCGTTTCGATCAAGACTTCCTTCTGCTTCTGCTTTTGCTTAGCCAGGCACTCATAATTGAATCTCAGGTTAAGATTACTTCTAGCAGCCACACTTGACTCGGTCAAAAACAACTATTACAAAGATCCAATGTTTTTTTTTACACGGCTCTTCACATTGATTAGGCAATGTGCTGCCACGAGAAATACACTGGATTCTAAATGACAGTCATTTGCATGAAATAAGGAGCGTGGGGCACTGGGGACCTCGCCTGCCTGAATCATACTGAAACTGGAAGTAAATCACACAGCGCTGTGGGTTTCATTCTGTGAGTGTTGTAGTCAACACACGTGTGATCCAGACATGTTCTCATCAACTGCTCTGTATCGTGAATACTGAAATTGAAATTGAATTGTTTTTGTTTTTAGCAAGACCCCCCCCCCCTTTCTTTCATTCATTTTCTGTAAATTGGATTCCAATTTACATTTTTAATGTGTCTTTTTTTCCTGTATTTTAGTTACTATTTTTTTACTACATTGATGGAAATTAAGATATTGTAAAATAAATGAATTGTAAAATATTTTTGAGGAATTAAAATGATGGTTTTCTTCCTTCATAACATTGAACATAATATCTTTGATGACGATAGTATGGTGAGTCTTGCATATACAGTAAAGTAAGAATGAATTATAACTGCTCAGTCTTTGACTACGTTCACTACTGAAAGATTTAACTGGAAAACAACTGAAATTTAGGCATTTTAATTGACAATAACCTAAAAATGGACAAGCAAATTAATTCCGTGGTTCGAGCTTGTTTTTATAATCTGCGTTAATTAGCAAAAACAAAACAATTTTTATCAAATAAAGATTTCGAAAGAGTAATCCTTTATTTTATCACGACTGGACTTCTGTAACTCTCTGTATTGTGGCATCTTTGTCTCGATTACAATCGATGCAAAATCCCGCGGCGAGGTTTTTGATGAGCGCAATGAAACACAAATCAATTACACCTGTACTACCGTCTCTAAACTGGCTTACACTGTAAAAAATAAAACCGTATTTTTTACGGTAAAAAATGGCAGCTGTGGTTGCCAGAACTTTACCCTTAAAAATACGGTAGGAACGTTAATGGTTTTACAGACTTAAAATTTACAGTAAAAAAAAAAAATTATTTAATTTTCTGATGAAATGTGGATTTACCAACCTTTTGAATTATTGAATAATTGATTATTGTAATACACTGACAACCAATAATCATCACAGCAGTGATGAGTCACATGTGCAATTAAAGCTCATCACAAGCAGTCTTCCATAAGAAAGTTAACATTTATTTAAAGAAGCTGCACAGTGTCATACACACAAACATTAAACACCATCATGGTATAACACATGAAATGAAAAAAATGCAATAAACATTAATCTAACAACATTAAATGTAACATAAAACCCTAATGTACATAACTGATTAGAAAAAAAAACAAGAAAACTATGAGGAACCATAGTTATTTCAACAAAAATACATAAAATATGTCACACAGGGAATTGTGGGAATGTCAATTTACCGTTTTTTCACTGTAAATTATACACTGTAAATTTAACGGTATTTTACGGTATCACAGTTATTTACCGTATATAGTACGGAAACTTTCTGTTAACCAATTAACAGTTTTGCACAGTAGCGTTTTTTACCATTAAAATCACGATTATCTTTTACAGTGAACATTATTATTTGTATATAAATCATTAAATAAACAGGCTCCACCATATTTGGAAAACCTTTTAACACCATTCAACCCTTCTAGAACATTACGCTCAAGAATTATAAACTACTTATAGTGCCAAGAACAAATCGCTTACATGAAGGCGACCGGGCCTTTGCAGTAATAGGGCCGAGACAGTGGAAGGAGCTGCCGCTATCTATCAGGTCTGCGAAATCGCTGACATTGTTTAAGAATTTGTTGAAAGTGCATTTACTTTAATGGTTGGATGTGATATTTTATATGTTGTCTATTTATTGGTCCATGTGAGTCCTTTATAAAATTTCTATGTGAAGCACTTTGGTTCAACCTTGGTTGTGTTTTAACAGTGCTATATAAATAAACTAAACTTAACCAGCATGCATGTTTATGCTGATACAGGTCGACTTGTACTTGTTAGTTTTGATGCTGGTCTAAATGGTGGACCAGCATTGCAATGAATGTTCATTGTTCACACTTCAACACTTATTGGTGATGCTGGCTGCCCAAAGTGGCCTTGCAAAGGGACCAGCATCCATAACACAACATATGCGGGTGACCAGCTATACGGGTCTTTTCAGCAGGGTTGGAGTTCAAAGAAAAAGCATATAATATATAGTTGACAATCAGAATTACATGACAACAACGCTTGAACTACATCAACGACCGTTAATGACTTGGACTATTTTGAGTTCCTTCATAGGGTCGATGGTTTGTCCTTTCTAAATCCCACTTTCCATCCTGGTCACAACAGAAGAACAGAGGGTGCTGGGAAAGGAGGGGTGAGTGAGGTAAGAAAAGAGGCCTCTAAAAAAAAAATAGAAAAAAAAATCTTTTTATTTTCAAATGAAAGGCCAAAAAAACGTTTTGCTTGCCTCCTCCTGAAGCGCTGTCAAACTCAATCAGCGGTGAGGACTGCTGATGGCTGTTCATTGGCCAGACTCTAGTTGCGGACAATAGAGTTTCCTGTGAGCCGCAGCACACACACATACTGCACGGCGCTCGCAGCCAATCACGGCTCTCTTAGAACAAGCCTGTCAGAGAACAGTGAACAAAACCCTAAAGACACGTATTTACCGCATAAACAGAAAGGCATAAACATTCACCACTTTCGCCGAAACCATTGTTGGGCATAAAAGAGAAATTCATAAAAGAGAAACTGAGACGGCTAAATAACAACATTACGGCCACCTGCTACCCTGCTTCGCGTTCGCAATGCACAGCGAAAATAAAAACTCACAATTATAAACATAACACCTCCATAAAACAAGCGCACAGACGCACAAATCCACACAAATGGGCCTATAATATGAGTGGGGTAAAATGGCCTTGAGCCTCAAGCCCTTTGCTCAGAACCCAAAAAGGCCTTGAATAGACAAGCCTCAAATCACATTGTCGAACAAATCTGGTATTAAGAAGAGGAAGAGAAGACTTTGCCCCAATTTACCGTCTCTGAAGACTTTAGTTAAGCTAGTTACTCTGGAGCTTAGGTGGAGATGAGGGGGCTATGCTAGTGTGTGTGTGCGTGTATAAATTCCTCTTGGTGTTTCAGGGACTGGGAGAAGGGGCCACTGGTCGCCAGACGCCCAGAGTCTGACACTCCTTCAACTTGAACCCCCCTCTTGCCAAGTCTGTGTTTACCCGCACCAAACAATAGGCCTGCTATTGGCAATTAAATGGCATTTGGAGATCCCTGGTGCAAGTTAATGGTATTACTGTTGTGATTCTTTCTCTGAATGGTGTGAGGGATTTCTTTCTGCACCAATAAAACACAGCTCACCGTCTTACCAGCATTACATAGCTTACCTAAGGCTTATGATTCACGGCTGCGTGATTACCGTTTGACTGTTTCTTTAAACGGCATAGTCACAGCTATGGCTGCCGGGCCAGTCTGCTGGATTGCCTCATGTAGCCTCATTACCCATTTCATTTGTCTCGCCATTTTGCCTGTTGGTCGCGAGTTGCTGTTAATCTCCAAATTGAAATACATCAAATGCAGTCCTACGTGACACTGCATTGTTCAGCCACGTGCTTGTTTAACGTTTACATTTTGTAACACTGCTGTTTTGTCCCCTTTTCCACGTTTCATATTTCAAAATTATAAATTGTAGCACTGTAATGCAAATATTTGGCCTTAGATTCCCCTAGCTTTTACATTTTTTTGATGTGCATACCTTATTTATTCTCTAGAT